AAGAAAGAAAAGGTATTGTACCAATAACAAACAAAATAAATAATATAAAACAAAAAAATGTATTGCATTTTGAGTATTACATTCCTAAAATGCATGTTGTATTGCAATGTATTACGAAACATAACACATATTCTTAGGAATAAGAAAATAAAACAGGTATAATAACTATTACACATATATAAGTCCTTTATTTGATTATCACATTTCAGTCATTTTAGTCTTTCCTTTGACATGGTTCTATATTTATTGTCTATATAAGACATTCTAAAAAATGATCGCTCCGCCTCGCAGTTCGTGATTGGCAACGTTAAAAAAAATTTTAAAATTGTATAAGAATTAGAAAAACATCGACCAGCTTCTTGTTCAAAATCAATTTGAATATATCACTGCAAGACTTACATAAGTCGGGCTCATTGGTCTACAAGTGCGACTTTAGTTGAGTTAATTTATTTAATAAATAATAATTATTTCTAAATATACAAATATGCGGATATTGAATCTAAAATGAAAAGATGTGATAGAACAGAAATTCCACTACTACATTAAATACCCAAGATCACTCAAAAATAATATCAGAAGAATTAATAAACACCTTAGTGCAGTCAAAATAGAAAAAAAATTTGAAAGATTAATCTTATTCTTACCATATGAGAAACGAAATGATCACAAGTAATCAAGTTTAATAAGATGATACTGGTTACTGTTCGATAATTTATGTCGAAATGTGACCAATATTTCCTTCTATCTGATGAACATATCATATCATAAGGTTGTATAAGAAAACGAGAAAAATTTAATTTTCAGAAAATACTAAATCAGTGAATTAGAAAAGGGGTCCCTTGATGGGACGGAGCCCTGGGCTACAGCCCATACCCAAATCCGGGGCTGCATAATCTACTAGATATTGGATGAATACCCAAAACTGGTCACGGATTCTTTTAGTTATTATGAATCTAACACTGCATTCTCCTTGTCTTTCTTCGTTTTCAAAGAAACATAGCGAGTAATTTCATTTATTTATCGTTCATTAATCATTAAAACATCAATCGCGTATATCTTAGACTCTAAGGACTATATCGTCCCATGTTTCAAAACGCAAATACAGTCACCCATCCTAATTTCGTTGCTTATATCGATTCCAAAGAAACATTCCAGTTTTATCCTTTGGCTATTCGTAACAGTACTTTTTTTACAAAGTAGGGTTGTTGGCTTTACACTCCCCAAACCTGGAGGACCAGAAAGCCTTCAATTGGAGTTATCATATCATAGCTGAAATTTTCCGATTTTAAAAGCGCCGAAGGGTCATCTTTCGCCTACCTTATTCTAGGGCCGATTTGCCAGTTGATCTGCAATATCCGCTTGGGCTTGTAAATATTTACTAGTGACACCAGTTCGGCATTAGTATCCCCACTGACGTCCTGACCAATCAATTTTGAACCTTTCTTAACTCTCGCATACTGAGAAGAGCCCCACCAACGACATGGTCCCATGGCTCCCCCCAAAAATAAGACTATAGCTGCATTCAACATCATTTGTAATACTCCTAGATTCTTTGAGGGAGTTTATGAGGGTATGAGTTGATGCTTATAATTCTTTTAGTTAATACACAAATCCTTCTCATTTTCATCTGATAAGTTGTTTTTTCTTTTCATTTCTTGTTCATCATTTGCTATAGTTGATTACTCTCATTACACTGGTCTACAGTGGTTTTGTTGCCCTAGATATAAGATTGATTTTGGATATATTTATGCTCACAATTCATGAAACTATCAATGATTTTGTAAGATTTGCTCTCGTTTTTTTTTAAACCTTTATTTTCATTTTACATTATAAAAATCGTAAAACAAGAAACAAAAGAACAGATATATTTATAATGTCAGTTTTGTTTTGAAAAATTAGGATACATCGAAGTAAATAGAGAGGAAAATGTCGAAAACATATGTTATATTTTCATGAAACACCTTTTAGGAGCTTTTCTTTTATAATTTTTCAGGGGACAATCTCTTTTTAAAGACCAGCAGTAATCTGCCATCATGTGACAATCCCATTGACCCTGATACCTTTCCTCCATCACTTTTAGATACTGGTGGAACCGCTCTCCCTGTTCCTCACTATAATTTCCTAAAATCCGGAAATTTATCCAGATGATTGTAGTGATAGTGTAACTTGATACTCATATTTACTCCTAGAATCTGAAAGTTTGTCAACATATTTTGTACAATTTCTTCATAATTTGGTGCTTTATGGTTACCTAGGAAATTTTCGACTACCAACACAGAACTTTTCCAAGCTTTCCTTTCCGGAACAGTCATAACTTTCATAAAATCTGTGTCTTTCATCAATTGCCGTATTTGAAAACCATCAAATATTCCACCTTTCAACTTTTCCATACTTCGTCGGAAATTTTCTACAAATGTAATTAAAACAATCCCCTTCCTTGTCCAACGCTTTTACAAAGTGCTTTATCATTCCTAACTTAATATGTAATGGTGATTTTATGATTTTGTCGCTGCTCACCAACGGCTCCCTTATTACATTGGCTTTACCGACAGTTAAAGAATTTCTTACACGCCAAACATCTTGTTCCCAATGAAGTTGCTTTGCTGTACTGTCGTTGATCAAGTAAAAAATTAACCATTCACAAATCTGCCATTGATGCTCCGTGTAATTAATTTTTTCTAAAACTAATTTTACATTTTCGTATTCTTCTTTGAGTTTTATTGAATGGGCAATTGGAATTGATGCAAATTTATTTCCATTGAGCAAGAAGTAAGACGCATTTAAAACTTCTTTTACAACAATAAAAAGGCGGCCACTCAGTAGGTTTGTATTCTTTTGAACCCATGTCTAGAAGGAGCTTCGCGATATCATTACAGTACACCAGTCCTTCATTTTCACTAAAAAATTGTAATAACTCACTGTCTCGCATTCTGTATATTGTAAATGTTACTGCTGGAGCCAATAATTTTTTTTCTTTCAATCTTGAGGCTAACGGTTCTGATCCTTGTTTTGATAAATTGAGATCACGTATGAAATCACTCAGTTCATTTTGAGAAAATAACTTCGACGTACATGTTTCACCCTCCCATTCACTTCCACTGATAGACTGTCCCGATTTCTGTGAATTTGGCAACATCATTGTTTCTGAGAGCATGCGAATTACTTTTGAAACATAAATAGGCCGAGGGAGATTTTCACTGTGTAGAACAGGACATTTTGTAGACTGTAAGTCTGGATATCTCCACGTTTCATTTCGATTAAAACCTTTAGCATCTACTACGCAAAAGTAACAATCATTGAAATGATTCTTAGGCTCTATCCAGATCATAGGAATACCAAAATCTAATCCAGAACGTTCTCCTTTTTTCCACAACCGTAAAGACTCAACACAGGACTTACAAACTTTATGAGGAACCCATGATTTATCTAGTTTGTCCATTTTAAAACCGAAGTATTCAGCATAAGTCTCCTCGACAAAGTCTGTAATATTTCTTTTTTGTTATATAAACACCGCAAATATAACAAAATTAATCACTACTATATTTACACTTTCTTCGTGGCAAACTCATGTTTTAAAAGACAGGACAAATATATTAGAATGGACATTCAGTAATTGTCAGTAATACTTCAATATTGTCAAATAACTGTGATCTCAGTAGTTCTGCGGAGGAAGGGGTCTGAGAGTGGGAATCACGTGATGTTTGTATGCGCGAAAAAGTTGCGCAGAAGCCTAATCATGACTGGGAAATCAATTTTATTACTAACAAGCCGATAATTGTTCAAAATATAAGATATGTAAAAATCATAAAAAACAAGACATTCAGTACTTTCATGAATGTATTCGTAATCACTTGAAAACATAAAAATTTGCAAAGATATCCAGGGCAACAAAAAAAAATTTTGTTGTTGTAGAGCTGTGTTATATGTTTATTTATAACATGAAAGATCAAAAACAAATTATACTCTGGTGATGACTTTTTTAAATGTTTATTTCTCTAAACTAGTTTTGGGCACAAACCCTTCCTCAGTAGAATTAGAACTTACAAAATTAACATACAAAACATATTGTAATTAAGTTACAAGTTTTTATGATTGAAAATAAACTTTTAAGTGTTATTTAACAAAATTGGATACATGAACTTAAGTCAAGTAGTAAACTTTTGAGTTACATTTAAACACAAATTTGTATACAGTGCTAGCGTAAAGTAACCCCCCCCCCTTCTTAACTTTCGAACAAATTGAGATATCAATATGAACAAAAAAACGTCAGTTTCTATATTTTATCAGCACAAATATTTTCTTACGGAAAATTTTGCTATCACTTTTAGTTTTTCCGGAAAATGGATCAACTTCGTTTTTTTCAATGGAACACCCAGTATATTATGGTATCTTCCGAAAGATGAAAACGATACGAATCCAACGGTACCTCACAATCAAATATCGATTTATTAGTTTTTCGAATAAAAATTAAACAAAATGCGGAATTTCGCCGGAAAAACCAACGTATCTTCGTCGACTACCTGTCGAAATACAATCGACCAGGTAAATGGTGGACGGAAGGTTAACGGTCGGTATACGCTCGAGCTAAGACGGATTTAAAAATGCTAGTTCAATTACTTATTTTTTTTAGAAATAAAATAAACGTTGGGTAGAAGTATATTAAATTTATGAATTAATCATATTTAATCAAAAAATATTTATAAAGAAAAAATCAAAGTAAATATAAGAAATGATAAGATAAACATAATTTTATCAAAGATTTTGCTAGTATACGTAACGGTTGAAAAATTGGCTTAGTGTTGTTATTGAATATGTTATTTATTAAGAACAAACTATTAAATAAATTGTTCGATATGATTACCCTGAACTTCTTGGCAGTGGTACCATCTTTGCAGTGTTTCCTCTCTCACACGGCTTAACATGTGATGATCAATATTTTAACAGACATCAATAATTTTTTGTTTTAAATCCTCAATACTGTCTAGCGGACTTTCATATACCTTGGATTTTAAATAACCCCATAAAAAGAAATCTAAAGGTGTCAGATCAGGTGATCTTGCTGGCCATTCAATCGGCCCACGTCGACCGATCCACCGTCCATTAAAATTTGTATCAAGATAATTTCGTACCATTGCCGCATAATGTGGAGGTGCACCGTCTTGATGAAACAATAATTCCATTTCAAAATCGTCAGGATTCTGTTGCAAAATTTGCAAAAGTCGTGGATTAATAGCTTCTTCTAATAATCTTAAATACAATGTTCCGGTTAAATTTTCGGTTAGGAATATTGGTCCCACGATGTGATTTCCTAATATGCCTGCCCAAACATTTTTTTTCTTGGGAAATTGAGTGTTAACTTCGTGATATTCATGTGGATTAACATCACTCCAGTAACGTACATTTTGCCGATGCAATTTTCCATCCAAAAAGAAAGTACATTCATCACTGAAACAAATATGTTTCAAGTATGATGGATTTCGTTCAACCATATTTGTCATTAGCTCACAAAATTCTATTCTTTTATNCCATAGAGGCTATGTTTACCAAAAATATCTGAAAACAGTCTTCTCCGCAATGTTTAACATTAAAATTTTTGAGGAGAACAATTTCGTCATGTTTTGGAATTTTCCCACATGAGCTATAGTTTATAGCTTATCATAGAAGTTGTTTGTACCATGATTTGTTGTTTGTATTCTTTTGAACCCATGTCTAGAAGGAGCTTCGCGATATCATTACAGTACACTAGTCCTTCATTTTCACTAAAAAATTGTAATAACTCACTGTCTCGCGTTCTGTATATTGTAAATGTTACTGTTGGAGCTAATAATTTTTTTTCTTTCAATCTTCTAACAGTTCTGATCCTTGTTCGGCGTTGATGTTTCACGAATGGGAGTCACTTCCACTGTCCCGATTTCTGTGAAATTGGCAACATCATTGTTTCTGAGGGCATGCGAATTACTTTTGAAACATAAATAGGCCGAGGGAGATTTTCACTGTGTAGAACAGGACATTTTGTAGACTGTAAGTCTGCATATCTCCACGTTGGATTTCGATTAAAACCTTTAGCATCTACTACGCAAAAGTAACAATCATCAAAATGATTCTTAGGCTCCATCCAGATCATAGGAATACCAAAGTCTAATTCAGAACGTTTTCCGTTTTTCTACAACCGTAGAGACTCAACACAGGAATTACAAACTTTATGACGAACCCATGATTTATCTAGTTTTTCCATTTTAAAACCGAAGTATTCAGCATAAGTCTCCTCGACAAAGTCTGTGATATTTCGTTTTTTGTTATATAAACACCGCAAATATAATAAAATAAATCACTACTATATTTACACTTTCTTCGTGACGAACTCATATTTTAAAAGACAAGACAAATATATTAGAATAGACATTCAGTAATTGAAACAAAATATTAACACATGACAACGTATCCAGATTCACGTGTAAGTACTTCATACTGTCAAATAACTGTGATCTCCGCAGTTCTGCGGAGGAAGATGTCTGAGAGTGGGAATCACGTGATATTTGTATGCGCGATAAAGTTGCGCAGAAACCTAATCATGACTGGGAAATGAATTTTATTACTAACAAGCCGATAATTGTTCAAAATATAAGATATGTAAAAGTCATAAAAAACAAGAGCACATTCAGTACTTTCATGAATATATTCGTAATCTGGCCACTTGAAAACATAGAAATTTGCAAAGATATCCAGGGCAACAAAAAAAAATTTTGTTGTTGTAAAGCTGTGTTATTTGTTTATTTATAATATGAAAGATCAAAAACAAATTATACTCTGGTGATGACTTTTTTAAATGTTTATTTCTCTAAACTAGTTTCGGGCACAAGCCCTTCCTCAGTAGAATTAGAACCTACATAATTAACATACACAACATATTATAATGAAGTTACAAGTGTATGATTAAAAATAAAGTTTTAAGTATTATTTAACAAAATTTGATATATGAACTTACGTCAAGTAGTAAATTTTTAAGTTACTTTTAAACACTAATTTGTATATAAATCAAAGTATAAAAACATTATATTCGACTGAATTTGATTTTACGGCAACAATAACGAAAACACAAAACTCAAAACACATTATAACTGGTTAGCGAAAGCTGGAACAACCACCAAGCAACAAGGTTATGACATAAAACGCCAAAAATGACCTGTATTTTCATTTTAAAGTTTGGAAAACTAGATGTCGTTACAAGTATTGTGATCAAAGTCACGTTAATTGAACTACATTTGGTCATAAAATAAAAAATCTAATATCAGTCACAATCAGTTAATCTGATTTGTTTNTCCACCCAAAAAGAAAGTACATTCATCACTGAAACAAATATGTTTCAAGTATGATGGATTTCGTTCAACCATATTTGTCATTAGCTCACAAAATTCTATTCTTTTATCAGGGTCATCTTCTGTTAATTCATGAAGCATTTTAATTTTATATGGATGATATTTATTCTTCTTTAAATATTTCCGTGCCGTTGTTGGACTCACATCACATGTTAATGCGATAGCAGCAGACGACATCATGGGCGCATTAACTACTTCTGTAAATATCTGCACTTGTGTGTCTTCAGAAATCGAACGACGATCAGTTCTTATGCGGGCTTCGACGCTTCCAGTTTCCAAAAACTTATTTACACGTTCTCTTAAATATTTTCGATTAATTGGATGTGCAGGAAATCGTTCATTAAATTGTCGCTCTGTTTCATGTAGATTTCTGTCAGCACGAGCGAATATTAAAATTACTTTGATTTTGCGCTCTAAACTCCTTCTAGCCATTTTGATCTCGCCTTTCTTTGGTTATACTTGGTCGGGTAGAATTCAAAGATAGAAATGAAGGAAAATATTTGCATGCCGGCCTTTGATTATATATAATATGGATTGAGCCAACGAGAGAGATAGCTTGCGCAAGGTGATCGAACCGATATAGACATAGAAGCGTACTGCCATATAATGGGTGTACTGATAGAAGTGAGATAGATATAGAAGATAGATATAGATCTTTGTTACACTTTCACATTATCGCTTTCCATCTGCGTCTATTCACCTTAAGCAACATTTTTGTTAGTAGATATATTCAGTTAGCTCAATCCATATTATATATAATCAAAGATGCCGGCTTAAATACAAAATTTCAAGATACCTACAAACTTTAAAATTGTTGTTATGACAATTTTTTCTTAGAAGTTTTAAGAAGAACTTTCTTATTATCTTTTTCTTGCATTGATTGTTTCATAAAAAAATTCTAAAAAGATTGCCGATTTTAACACTGCTTAACCCGAACGTAGACCGACCTTTAACAGGTAGTCAACGAAGATACGTTGGTTTTTCCGGCGAAATTCCGCATTTTGTTTAATTTTTATGCAAAAAACTAATAAACCGATATTTGATTGTGGGGTATCGTTGGATTCGTATTGTTTTATTCTTTCGGAAGGTACCATAATATACTGGGTGTTCCATTTAAAAAAACAAAGTTGATCCACTTTTCGGAAAAACTAGAAGTGACAGCAAAATTTTCCATAAGAAAATATTTGTGCTAATAAGGTATAGAAACTGACGTGTTTTTGTTCATATTCACAGTTCATATTGATATCGCAATCCATTCAGAAGTTAAAGGGGGGGGAGTTACTTTACGCTAGCACTGTATAAATCAAAGTATAAAAACATTATATTCGTCTGAATTTGATTTTACGGGAACAATCACGAAAACACAAAACTAAAAACATATTATAACTGGTTAGCGAAAGCGGGAACAACCACCGAACAACAAGGTTATGACATAAAACGCCAAAAATGACCTGTATTTTCATTTTACAGTATGGAAAACTAGATGTCGTTACAAGTATTGTGATCAAAGTCACGTTAATTGAACTACATTTGGTCATAAAATAAAAAATCTAATATCAGTCACAATCAGTTAATCTGATTTGTTTCTTTCCGGGTATGGATTTTTCAAATAGGTATAGAGCGGTCTTCGTAGAGGGATTTGTTCATTAAGGTTAATGACTTCCGGATTATTCTTTATGAATCTATTGATCTCGTATGATTCGATTATTTCCATGAGGTTACTTTTTTGTAGTTTATGTAATAACTTAACATCTTTCTTTTCATCAAAATCATGGTTATTAAATAGGAGATGTCGTCCAAAATTTGACCTATTGCTATTTTTGTGTTCTTTGATTCTTTGTTGTAAGTTTCGACCGGTTTTGCCTATATAGGTAGCTGAACAAGTGTTGCACTTTAACTGATAAACTCCGCTCTCTTGAATGTAATAGTTCTATATGTTATATTAATTTGGCTTTTCTTTTAATGTGGTAATATTATTTTTATTGTGTTTCTCCTGTATTCTCACAATTAAACTTTCAATTAGTCTTTCTGGGAAGGAGTTGTCTTTGGCCATTTGATGTATTATATACCGAAACGCTGATAATTTTTGGGTGTTATCATGATGCGAGAAATAAGGAATTATAGAATCGGTCTGAGTTGTTTTTCTGAATATTTCATGTTTTATTGAATTTTTCTCTCTAATTAGTGTGAAGTCAAGGAAGTTCAGTCTATTGTTTTCTTCCAATTTTAGCGTAAACTGTATTTTTTTTTGTGTTAATGTAGTTATGTAACTTAGGTATTTGTTGTTCATCTTTGATGAATACCACGATATCATCCACATATCTGATCCATACAATAATATTTTCATGAAGTGGGTTGGTTTTATTTAGAATGTTATAACATTCTAACTTGTCGATAAATATGTCCGCTAAGTGGGGAACCCATGGGTAAACCATCTTCAAATTGGTAATATTTATCGTTAAATACACAGAAATTTTGATCTAAGCATAATTTGAATAGTTTTTGTAAAGTTACTGCTTCTTTTTTGTCTTTCAATTCTTTTTTAATTATGTTTTCCAAGAGTTCTAATATTTCCCAAATTGGAATATTTGTGTAAAGATTAGTTATATCAAATGATATCATTTTGAAGGAGTTTGGAAGACATAAATTTTCAATTAAATTAGGTAAACGATTTCTGTTTTTGATCATGTATCTAGGTATAAAATTTACATTGTTATCGAAAAAATTTAATATTGTTTTCGAAAGTTTATGAGTACTTGAATTGATCGAGCTTATTATGGGTCTAATGGGAATATTGTTCTTATGGATTTTTGGTAATCCGTATAGTCGAGGTGTTCGGGGATTTATAGGCAGGATTCTGTTATAATTACCAATCATTCCTGTAATACTTTCTTTACTTTCTTTGAGTATTTGTTTTGTTATTTTGTGAAAATTATTATTTGTTTATTACTTATTTTCCATTATTGAATCAGTGGCGTATTTACGGGGGGGATAAGTGGGATATCCCCCCCATAACATCTATCAACTCCGCCATCCTTTTTAAAATATTAAAATTGTCCAAGACTTTCGAGAAATAGAAAAACCAGAATTTGATTTAAATCCTAGATCGTGAC